ACACCCCACCTCGCAGCCGTTGCCCAGTTTTATTTCATTTAAAATCCGCTGCGTTAAATACTTTAGTTACAAGTTCCGTGTAGAGGGTAAGAGTAATAGACTCCGCAGGCACTAGCAACCCCCTCACTCCCCAGTAATGTGCGCGCTATCGGATTAAGGACCGCCCCACCCCCCCAACCTCCCCCCAAAACCAGCAGCCTGGGGCTGGGATATACGGAACACACAGACCTGGCCTTCCACCTGCTGGCAGCAGGCCGAGCCCCCGCGCGCAGGAAGCCAGCGGTCGGAGCCGCCGTCGGCTGTGGTTCGGGGGGGGGGCGTCTGGTTCCCACCCCCGTGTTGGGCATGTAAGGGTGAAAGGGTTGTCATCATCCCCCCTCCCGGCCCAGGAACAGCCTCCAGAGGTCATGGGCTCTGCCCACCTGGACACCAATGCTCACACCACAGTGACCAGGCTGGAGAGAGACCAGGGATCTCCGAGGGGAAGCAGAGGAGCTGCCACCAGGGTGTTTCCTCTCTGCAGAGGGAGTGGCACCAGGGCGCTGCCAGAGGCAGGCACCTACCTCGAGCCCTCCTCTGCTCCAAACCTCTGCTGCAAGCGGCCTGGGGTCCCCAGGCTGCCCTCGCGAGGCGGATGAGTGGGAAGTACTTTCAAGCAAAACAGGGCCAGAACAGTAGCCTTTCCTCTCCCTCCCAGGAACCTCAGTGCTAGGAAATAAAGCTGAACCCGCTTTGGAGCAGCAGGGAAGGGTACCCTAGCATAGCAGCAGGGCTTTCCGCTGGAACAGGACAAGCTGGAGGTGAGTCTGGTGCTGTGAGGGAGAGGATGCCACAGAGATGGCTCCGGAAAGGCAGTGCCATTCAGTGGCTGGTCCACTGCATAGCAATCCTCGTGAGAAACGGAACCTTCGTTAAACAGAACAGGAAAGGAGGTAGGAGCTATCCCCACAATTCCCTCCGGGACAGCTCCGAATCACAGCGGAGGGCGGGAGATTGGAATGACCCCTGTGCCAGTTCGTGAATGCCCTGCATCGCTCCTGCTGGTGCTGCGGCCCGGCCCTGCCCTGGGTGGGTTGTGTGGGGGGTGTAGCTGCTCTACAGGTCGAGCAGCAGCACGCGGGGATCCTCCACTGCTGCCTTGATCTTACGCAGGAAAGTCACTGCCTCCCTGCCGTCAATCAGCCGGTGATCGTACGTCAGCGCCACGTACATCATGGGCCGCACCTCGACCTGAAGGGGAGGGATAAGGCAGGCATTAGCGAGCTCAGCCCTACCATCTGCATGATGCCTTCCTGCGAACTCAGGGAAGACTCAGCTTTTTCCTATCCTGAATCCAGGGCGCAGGCCCTCCTGGATGTATCCTGCCTGGCAGGATTACCCACCCACCATCCAGGCTGGGTTCACGCCACACAGGAGTGGATCCCTTTCTGGAGCTGTTCTCTATCCCAAAGGCTTCAGCCTCCTCCCCCTCCCCACATCTAAGCAGACTATCCAGTTTTCTCCCCCACGGATAGGACAAGGTCCCCTGCACCCCTCAGGCAAGTACCGATGCCAGCAAAACTGCCCTACACCCATTATTTTCTGCTCCTCCTTCCCAGTAAAACCTTTTAGAAGTTGGCACCAACCCCCTAGAAAAAGCACGCGGGCCACATCCTCGTCGCACTGAGCCCTTGCCGCTGCTCACCGAAACCTGCGCAGCTCCACACCTACCTTGCCTCCCACAGCCACCGGCCTGTCCACGATGGCATGCATCCCTAGGATGGCCGACTGGGGTGGGTTAATGATAGGTGTCCCAAAGAGTGACCCAAAAACCCCTCCGTTGCTGATCGTGAACGTGCCGCCATCCATGTCTTCAATGGCCAGTTCATTTTTCCGTGCCTAGAAGAAAAAGTAAGGTCCTAAAAAGATGACAGAAGGCAAAGGACAAGTGTTCGGATGTTCAGCCTCTCCAGGAATAAATGCTGATGGCAAGGGCTTCACTTATGGATCTATACAGCTGAAAACCAGCACAAATTGCTTGAAAATACATCCTGTCTTTAGATCTGAACATTTACTGGCTTCGGGGAAGGATTCTCCTGCCTTTCCTTCCAACTCTGGCTTTTGCAGGAGAGAGACACAGGGAATTCTATGCCGGGGCAGCTCAGCCTCAGTCTCTGAAGACAAAGGTGAAAACACACCGTGTCACTAATGCACAGTTCGTGGTTTTCTGGAAGGGCAACAAGTAGACAGGGCTGTCCCGTAAGGCAGAGCTACAGCTGTAACTGGATCCCTCCCACAGCACAGCTCAGTGTGTTAGAGGTCGGAGATGACGACACAGAGGGACCAAATCAATTCCTGACTATCCAGCACTCCCAATTCTTCCCCTTCCTCCCAATCCTTTTCAGAAAACCGTCCAACACTCCTTACCTTCTCCCCCAGCTCGTAGATAGCACGCTCTATGTCAGCGAAGTTCATGTTTTCTACATTCCTAACAACGGGGACCACAAGACCCTGGGGAGAAGCACAGCACACAATCAGCAAATTCACAGCAGCGACACTTGGATAACCGCTACCAGGCAGGAGCCTGGCCTCAGCCCAGCAGAGTTCCAGCCTTCTCCCCGGCCCGCAGCAGGTGGCTGGCAGAGCTGCCTCGCACCCTGGCAGCCTGCCGGGAAGCGCGGCATGCCACGCACCACCGGCCAACGCCGTAAACGAGGCACCTTCTTTGCCTCTGTAAGCCCGTCTCATAAAATCAACCAGGCCTGTCAGGATCCAGCTCCCTGTCCTTAAAAGCAGGTGAGGCACTGGGCAGAGTGCAGCTGTCACCTCCTGCTAGGTCAGAAGAGCAGAGTCCCCCTGTGCTGGACCAGCCCTAGACTTCGGGAGCAGTGACAGAACTTCAGTCCTGGCCAAGCCTCTGCCTCACAACAGAACCAACTACTTCATCTCCATCCCATACTCCCTCTGGATAGAAACATCTCTTTGGAGCAGCACTGTGATTTACAGAAATGGTGGGACAGCACAGTAGGGTTAGCCGATGGACAGGACATGCAAAGCTTTTACTATCTATGCCATATCTTCATGGGTCCATGAAAAAAAGGGTTTCCCTAACTCAGCCCTACTCATTAACCACCCAAATGCATAGTGACCTTGCTACTACATCTCCTAGTACAGTAGCAGAATATTCTCGGTCCTCAATCTTCTCACAAAACCCATCTCAGATGTCCACAATGTATCAGATGTCTCATTAAGATCAGGGTCATCGCTAAGTTTCTGCTGCAGAGGAGCTCAAAGCTGAACTGGCTCAAAGTACGTGATCATCCCAGACCTGAGGCTGCCGGAACCACGGCCGAAGCATCCAAGGTACCTACCCGGGGAGTTGCTACAGCGACACTGATGTCCACATAGTCCCTGTACACAATCTCTTTGGTCGTGTCATCAATCACTAGAAGGAGAAAATAAATCTGTTACACATTCAGTACCCAAGATCAAGGGCTCAAGAGGCCAGAATCAGCCACAAAATCATAAAAACTCACTCATCCCTAGCTTAAACGTAACTCCAGAGAAAAATGAGCCCTCACTGCACCTGTGGTCTGAGAAGCATCAGGACAGACAGAAAGACCCCTTCCTCACGGACCCCTCCTGGCAAGCTGTCCTCTACCTAGGTAAGTGGCATCTGCAACCTCAGCTTCAGCAGGCAGGACTGCCTCCCCCTTTTCCTGCGTATCTGACTCGCACACCTAAGCTGTTAGCCCGGCCATGGACCTGGCCACCTGCCTTCCCCCACGCCGCCCCGCGCACCGGTGAGATGTGCCACTGACAGCAAGGGTCACCGCTCACCTGCGTTCACAACGGGCTGGTCCTGCAGAGCAAAAGCTGCAGCTTTCACAAAAGCTGACATGAAACCTAGCTTCAGGTTGTGCTTTTTCAGGAAGGGATCCTTGTGTACTGCTCTCATCTCCCGGATGTTGCTGCCGAACACATGAGAACGCTGGTCAGCGCCGAGTCCAAGAAAACACAGTTCCCTCACTCCGTAACAGATTTCAGTGTCGGCCCCAAGGACTGCAAACCTGCGCTATCAACTGGCAGGCCCCCAGGCTGCTGAAAAACCCCTCAAACATCACAGGTGAATGAGGGTGGCTCTAAGGACCCCACCAAAGACCTAAGAGGAACTGGTCCTGGCCCACCAACTCAACAGGACAGGGTTCATCTGCTTGGCCTGCACTGCCAAGCACAAAAGTAAGATGGGGCACGGCATATTTCTTGCTCAGGACTGACGTTGCCACCGATTCTCTGGAGACACCGCTGTCGACACCAGTGCGGCACCGCAGACGGCAACTCCAGGTGCGGCTGAGCCCAGCCTGGGAAGGTGGAAAGCCAGGAAATGCCAAGAGCAGAAAAGATGCAGGTGGTGATGGAGGCAAAAGACTTCAAGCACTGTGCAAGTCCAGCGCCAGGCGGCACGGCGATGTCTCCATAGTGGGTGCCAGCCCACCCACAGCCCTCAACCAGATTAATCACGTTTCCCCACTGCTTCTGTTTATCAGAACTAAGGCCATTTTCAAAAAGCCAACCAAGCTGTCTCTACAAGCTCTGCCTGTTCCAGGCTAATACAAGATGCTGTGGAATTACACGGTCCATCCCTCCCCCTCCAGAGACCTTGAGCATTTCAAGAGACAGTTTCAGCAAGGGCCAGGGGTCTCCATGATTTAGAGTGTTTGTTTTCCTGCGCCTAACCTTGTTTAGGGCTAGGATTACCACCCAAAGACATTAGTGCCTCCCAAGACGCAAGGACTGCAGGAACGAGGATGAGGTTTGCTACGAAACTGGCTCATTATGGCTTCCTCCTTTCAGACACGGACCCCCACGGGAAGCAGGAGGCCCCAGCACCGGCCCTGCCGAGCCACCCTCCCAGCAATCAATCCAAACCAGATAACCAGATGCAACGAGAGCCCGAGGCCAGCGTAAAGCGACACCTCAATGAGCCTCCGAGAGGAGATAAAGCTGCAGCACTTCCCCTCCAATCAAGACTATTTTGCCAACCTTATTGTTCTGAGACCCAAATATTTACATGTTTTGTCTTAAGGAGCAGAATAGGGTTTCACAAGGCAATTTGATTTGGGCACAATTTCCCCTTAATGCACTGTAATACAAGCTGCCCACCCTCCAAAGCCATTAGCGTGCTCAGTCCCTGCAAGTACTTGAGTCAGGAGACCCCCACCCTGCCTGGAGGGGATGGGGAAGGATGCGAGTCTGTCCCTAGAACGCTGCACCACCCTCAGCAAGGGCCTCGGACCTGTGTACTGCTCACCTGAAAGGCTGGTGAGCCCTGGGGAACCTCCTCATGGGAAGCTAAACATGCCCACCTCCAAAGGCAGTAACCTGGTGGGGCAGCAGAAAGCAGATGCTCCTTCTTGGCGTCCTAACAGCCACTATACAAGTGACACTAGTCACTCCTGCTCAGGATCTACCGCTCCTCAACCAAGAACCACACAGATGAGGAACCAGGTTGCCCCTTTTACAAGCAGCAGCAGATTCCCGAGGAATGACAGGCCATTGTCATTGGCCATTGTCATTGTCACTGTGTACCCCCTCGCACAACACCAGCACCATGGCCCTGATGAAGCTGTGCAGACGGTGGTACACACTGAAGAGGTCCCAAAAGACGTGTTGCCAGTCTCTCCAAAGAGAATCAGCAAGGTCTTGGCTGCTATTTAAAGATGACTGCCTGCATCTATTCTACTTGTAAAGGGAAAAAGAGGTCTGCTCCTCACCTCATATCGATCTCATTGAAAGTGGTCAGCATGGCACAAGTATTCTGGGCCTCTTTCAGCCGCTGAGCAATACGCTGACGCATCCTATTCATTTTCACCTGAAAATTAAAAAGACATAAGCAGAAGCTGTCTCAAGTTCATCCAAGACGCAAAACTCATTAGAAACTCCAAAGGCCTTTCTTCTTGCCATCTAGTCACAGATGCCTAGGGCCAAGGTTTTCACTCCAGGTCTCCCTGAGGAGCACGACAGGCTGAGGAGCTGATTTCACTACGGAGCTGCCCAGCTCAACACACAGTTTCCAGCTTGAGGCTGACGTGAGAAGAGCAAGACTGCTCAACCATATTCTCTTATGGATGCACAACGCAGGTGCAGCAGCCCCAGTTCTCTGCTGAAGGCTTGTGGACAGACCAAGGAGGTCACACTGAGCCTTCTGTGCTCAGTCAGGAGTGCTCAAGACAAGACTCTTGCCTAGAAAGGACCTGTGTCAGATTGGACCTGGCTCCTCCTCCACTCTACCACTAAGTGGTGCCCTGGTGTAGAGCATTTCCCTATCTTGCACAGCTCCCCACAAGCTGGGTGCGAAGAGGTAGATACGGACACATCCAGAAAGCTCAAGGCTCATGCCAGCAGAGGCTATCGGCCAGCAACAGAAGTGCTGACAAGGCCCCTGTTCCCGCAGCTTACCCTGTGCTCTGATCTGGCACCTTTGCTGGGCACTGCTTCCCCAGAAGGGGCTGCCGCTGGGGCTGCAGCCGGCTTCACCGCAGACACTGAGGGTAAAGAGCACATCAGTCAAAAAGGGAAACCGGGGCTTGATCGCAACGCCAAGGCAGAAAGCCTGTTCTAGCTCCTCGCTCAAGCCTTGAATTGGGCTGCGCAGGTACGAGACATGGCTGAGCTCTCCAGTCTGCAGCATGCAGGGCAATAATGCGGGGAGGCCTTCCCCATACATGCCAGAGTGTTCGCTGTCTTTAATCTTACACACTCTCCCCAAGGAGGAGAAAACAGCTGTAGCCTCACCTGGTTTGCTGTCGATGGGCTGAGGTGACACAGGCGGCACTGGTGGCATTGTAGTGGGAATCGGTGCTGCAGCAGGAGGAGGAGGAGCAGCCGCAGCTACAGGTTCGGGGGCTGCAGGAGGAGGAGGGGCTGCTGCTGGTTTGGCCTTGGCAGGAGCAGCTGAAAGACACAGAAACGTTTAACTGCTCTCAGGATGCCTGGAAATGCCTTGCTTCCATCTTCAGAGAAAGCCCAATGGAAACATGAAGGCCTGTGCAAGTGACACACGCCTGACTTACCTCCAGTTTTCCTGAGTTTGAACAGAGGTGTCCCCCCTTCCACTTTGCCACCATCGGGTACCAGAAGGGCTTCAATCACACCAGCGGCCGGGGCTGGCACTTGCACTGATGTCTGCAAAAAGGAAAATCGGTGAAATTCCCCCCAGACGTTGGAGAACAAGAACAAGAGAAGATGCCAATTCGCGCAGACACACGTTGTGATCTGGCACAGAGAGCGGCTCTGTCTTGCACCACTTAAGCCAGTTTTCACACGCTCCAACGGGATTTTATGCCAATACTTAGGAGTTTGAAGAAATGCTGGCAGTGTAACATACACCCTGATCTTCCTGCTCCGGGGTTCAATCAATTGACCTGCTGCCAGCATCTTCCTGACAGCAACATCAGAAGCAGAACTTGACAGGGAGTTTTAGCCAGAACTTCAAAGCTCAAGAGTCCTTTAAGGAGTGAGTAAACTTAAAGACTAAATTTAAAACAATTGGAAGACATCCTATGGCTCTGCAGATTTCTCCTCTGTTTAAGCACAAACAGGTTTCAAAGCACTAAAACTGGAAGAGGGAGTGGAACTGCAGCTCCAACAAACAGCAGCACCACTCACGCTTAATCAAATGTATGAGAAAGAAAGAACTATCAAAGAATTCTCACTTAAGGCACAGCCAGCTTTCATACTGGATGAGAAGAGCTCTTCTCCATAAAGGAAGCAGGGCAGACAGGCAGGGCCTGCAGGCTCTAGGAGCGATTAGAGGGACAGAAGCCATACAGGGTACCCGCTACAGAACGAGAAGAAGTTTTGGTCCAGAAAACTCCTACCTTGTCTGTTTCAATCTCACACACCACTTCATCTTCCGCCACGGTGTCTCCAACAGCTGAATGACAGATATGAAGACCACTGTAAGGAGCGAGGTGCGCTCCATCCTCCCCTCTTAACCCACAGCAGTCTCCCCCACTAACCCAGAATTTTCTCACCCCAGTTCTCCACAACTTCTACATTAAAGTCTAGCTCAAACAATCCATCCACTGCACAGTCAGAGTCTGACTCCAGTTCAGACATCACCCTTCACCCAACATCACCCATGACAGAGTGGTGCTGAGGCAGTAACTGCAATCCTTACCCCTTAGGAGAACTGCAGTTAACAGCCTCGTTTGTCACGGACTGTAAAGCACAGAGCAGGCTGTCAGCCAGTGAACGACAGTCCATCCCCAAGCTGTCCGGTGCAGCAGCAACAGTGCTAAGAATTTCAGGGAAGAGGCAGCTGCTTACCTTTCTCCCACCTGACATCTCCTTCTGTGACTGACTCTGCAAAAGCTGGCGTGTTCACCGTAACCACGTCATCCCCTATGAGAGAGACAGACAGACCTGAACGCATTCAGAGCTCAAAATTTACGGCATTGCTTCATTCCTTGTCATCAGGACCCTGTTAGAGGGGGTAGGTCTACAGGCATCAAAGGTTAGCCTTCTCCTTGCTTCAATACCGATTAACATTTGGACACAAGAGAAATTCCCATCTGACTTAGACAAAATCTTTAGGGCCCAGGACATACACCTCCAGCCACCCATCGAGGTGGGACAGTGGGGCTAGACCAAGGATGCCAGAGGTGGCTTCAGCTGTTGTCAGGACAGCAACAGGTAGCACGAGAGCCATCCCGCTGACTCCTGACTTCTTACTTACTACGTACTGCAGTGGTTCTGAAGTAACGGACGGTGAAGACACTGGAGCTATTTACTCTGCAGAGAGAGAGAAGGACATGAGCACAGAAGTACGTTCCTCTGCAGGCTGCCGGCACCAAGCTCAAGACAGAATTGACATTTGCTTAACTGATTAGCTGTTCCAATGTATTTGTTCCAAGGGACTCCTACTTACTGTTCAAGCTGCAACAATCCCACTAAGAAAGGAAACATCACAGCTTACCATCACTAGTGCTCTCAGAAAGTCAGTGAGAACTGACATTCATGGAATTTTAATTTGGGGAGACAACCCAACAGAACCCCTGTGGTTTAAATACTGATAAAAGGCTGACCTAGCCACAGACCACCCTACACCCAAGATGAGCACAGTAACTGTCTTTTACCTCCAAATCAGGACTGTCATCTCTACAGAAGGTGCTAGATTGATCCAAAAAAGGAGAAAGCACCACAGACTGCCTGTGGAAACACACCCAAGAGACATCTATTTCTCTCCACCACATCCCTTCACAGGGAGATGGCAATCCTAAGCGTTCCAAAGGATGTTTTTTATACCTACTGACACCACATTTGGAAACCTGAAGCAAACATGCTTTAGCATTTCCTCTAACACAGGCTACTTGGTGCAAAAAGATCAGCATTTCAGGCTTTTATGGATGCACTCTTAAGGTTATTTCCCCAAATACGTTTTTACGAGACCACCTCAGCAACGCAAACTTTGCCTGACGAACAACAGCTCCCGAACCACCCCGCTTCCGACAGAAATCCTACCAGGAGGCCAGCGCAGAGCAAGTCAGACTTCTAGCCAGATAATCAAAGGGTACAGATCCATTTATCACCGATCTCCGCATTCCTGTCCTTTCCCTGCCTCAGTATCTGGCTCCAAACACAGCTTATGTTCTTTAAGCAGGCATGCCATAGCTCCTGAGCTGCAAAACCTAGATGTTGTTAGGGCTAGCCCCACGCTCCTACAACGTGCACAGGGATTTTACAACAGCCCCCCACTCTGCCTCCCAGCCCCCAAATCTTATCAAGGTTAGAGCAGCCCCAGCCTCTCCGCATCACGGCTTCCCTGGGGATACTTACACAAGCTTCCTGCTGTTGGTGTAAGCCAGCCCGTGGCTCCCAGCCACTCCTGTGAACGAGAATGGTGTTACGCCATAGGAACATTATCCAGCCGTCCATCCCTCAAGCATCCCCGTCAGGCAGGAGTGCAGAGCACACCACTGTCCGCCCTGAAAGAAGCTTGGGACTAAGTGGGGAACAGAGGTAAACAGAGGCACCTCAGTGCCACCAAACCTGCCCAGAGTTTGCCAAGAACAGTGGTCTTGTCTGCATCTAGACTTACAGAGATGGGAAACAGTTGTATCTTGACCTCAAAGCTCCTAAGGGTAACTTTGAAAATGGCAAACAAAGCAGAGGCTACCCCAGTCAGAACAAAACCAGGAAACAGCTACGAGGGCTGCTAAACCCTCAGGTGCTGCCGAGTTACCCGCACCAGTACAAAGGGGGTCTCACAGGGGCAAGGCATCAGCCCCCTAAGAAGCCTCACAGTCACAGGGACAGGTAAGGAGGAAAAAAAGAATGAAAGCAGGGTGCAGGGCAGAGTAGCGAGCCACCATCATCCTTCTTCTCTGTCCAGAGAACAGTTCTCCGAAACTCGCAGCAGGGACATACTTGCTCAGCTTCCCAGTTTCACATACGCCACCATCCCCTTCCCACACTACCCACGTGCCCTGACGCTGCAATTTTTATTACGAACTGAACTCCCGTCCTTTGCCTCTTTCAGGGCAGTGGGCACTTTTCCAGAATGATCTTAAAGAGAGTCAGCGTGGCAACTGGAGAACATAATTATCCCAGTTACACAATGCCAGAAGGAAGAACCGTTTCCCTGCTTGATTTTTTAAAGAAGCAATACAATTTTGACACCATCCCCTACTGAAAAGCTGATACTGGCACTCCAGAAACCGGAAAAGGTAAGCAGATTTAATTACTTTCTCAGAGTCTTATCAGCAGCAAGTGATGTAATGCTATATAAACACAGCACAGCTAGAAAAAAGAGAACTCTGGGAAAGCCCAGTTTAAGCACTGAAGAGGAGCTCACAGGCACACTAGATGTGACATGTCACTTAACATTCACCCATTGTTTTCAAAGGAGTTCATGGCGAGCGAGGCGCTGCAACAGTGTGTGCTTCAAGCACGGCAGTGTTTGAAATACACTGTGCTGCTGCTGCGAAATCTTCAACAATTCCGGGTGGATTGGGCAGCAAGGGAAGCACTCACACCGACATGCAGCTCATTTCACCAACCCCTTCTTCATTACGTGATTGACAGAAATAAACCCAAAGCAAACCCACTACCAACTTCCACCATCAGCTCTGTTCTGTCTAGGTAGTTTGAAAGGAAATTAATGCGTAAGACTCACCAGACAGAGAGCATCGTGCCAGAGTGCAGTTCCCCTGTCAGAGAGAAGAGGAACTATTAGTATTGCAAAAAACCAGATCCATCCTAGGACAACACCGGTTTTCCCACAAGACCTGGATCAGAGACGGGACCCACCATTCCCATGCTCCAGACTGCAGGCACGCTGTTTTTCCATAGTGTGCAAGAGCGGGAGATGGCAAGAGCACTGACACCCTTCTCTTTGCTTTGTCTCCTTCCAGGATGCTCTCCTGTGGAGTGATGTTAAACCTGACGCGCTTAGTTTCCAGTTGTGGCTCCAGCTGCTCTGACCTTCTGTGTACACTTTCCTCTTTAGGAAGGAACAGATTCCTGAAGACTCATTCACTAAAATTTGCTATGAATGAGGTCAGTGGTAGCTACTGGATACGATGAAAAAACATCCCGTGATGTTTACTCCTGCAGTCATGAATGGAGCATCTGGGGTTTTGTTTGTTTGTTTTAAGGCTATGGAGCCTTTGAACTCCAGAAAGCCAGAATTTCCCTCAATGGCAAAATTTCTACTGCCTTTGGTGAGCCAGGAATTCCACCTTCTGGTGATGTTTTGCTTCATACCCCTGTAATCGACTGCACCCCCAGCTCTGCATCATATCCTCTCTCCATCATATTTGAA